GCTGATTTTGTTAATTCAAGTTATGACCTTAGTTTTTTGATTTGTTCACAATAAATGTTTTTAGTAACAAAATAATCTCATAATCCTTTTAAACACAACAAAATAACTCTAATATGTCTTGAATTTATTCAGATATAACTATATTGTATCATAATTGATATTAAAACAAAAAAATAGGGTAGACATAATTAGAACTACTCAAAAAATACTTAAAACCTACATGGTAATAATAATTCAAAATGTTGGAATTTGTTTGGCATATTTTTGGATTTTTGACATGACAAAGTCTAACTGGACGTAAGTTCCAAACACGAATGACTTTACCTATTTGAACTGGCGTGAGATTCTTAAATCATGATTTTTCAAGTAATTGTAGCGAAGCATAAGATTACGTCTGAATTCTTTTCTATGCCTTTGGGATCAAGAACTTAAACAATTTCCAACTTGTACTGAATGGACTAGAATGTAGAAAGATAACTGAATGCAAAGTAATAGAGAAACTAAATTTGGTAGATGAAAAGACTATTGCATTTAACATTAAACGGAAAGGAAAAATCACTGTAGTGATGAATTATAGGTTAAAGTAAATTTGTTGAGAGGTTGACTCTGTGTAGTGTTATTATGTTGATCGATAATCATTTTTCGGTTGTCTTGCCTTTGTTATTAATGAGAGATGGCCCTAATTGTCGAAGCCATCTTTTTCGATCATGATTGTAATCATGACCTCTTTTCTCAATACGAGCAGACGTGTACCGAACCGTCTGTAGTTGGCGATTCTTAATGTCACATTTCCTTAGGTTCTTAGAGTCACACTTCTTTAATGGTACTTTTAGGTTTGGACTCTCACTAACTCTTTGTTGACTGTCAGATCACCTCTACTCACCTTGCTTAGCTGTCACCATGCTATTGGTTGTAAAGCTCAGAGTGTGTGGCCCAACCTCCATGTGTAGGTTTTTGGTCTTCTTCTCGTCTTTTCAAATTTGTAAAAAATGGCTGACACGCGATCCATTCATATCCTATCATCATTGCAACGATTCGTTCTTTGTGTCGATATATTCCGTTCTCAAACTTGCATTTTGTCATTATTTTGACATTCTCTTCTTCTTTTTCAATGGCTACCCCCACATACTGTTTTTCTAGAGACGACTCTTTCATAACTCCCTATTAATCATGTTAACCCTCCTACATTTCCCCCAATTTTTGAATATTCTCCAACAAAAATGGGCCTTGGACCTACTTGTACAGAACTTCCTCTTGATGAAGTTCGTTGTATCTTCCCTGAGCCTCATATATCTTCAAGTTTAGAGAACCTCTTCGATAGTCGAATTGGATCACTGGCAATCTTAGTCATACATGGAAAAGCCCTTACCTCGGACTGGGTCCTATGGGTGGCTTGCTTCAAAGCGTTAAAAGGAACTCTATGACGTTGACTTGGCATTTACAATGCCACATAACTTAGCATTGTTCCAATGTCTATTGACAAGTCGCTGCTCTTTTATTTTGATTTGTGATGAATAATGTATTTCACTTTAGTTTTGGCATGATAGGTACCACAGTATATGATACATTTACACTCATCGACTGATCATTTTCTCTTAAGAAAGTTGCGAACACTGGGATCTTGTACTCCCGAGGATACTCATATTCCTTGTCTTCCTAGTCAGGGTATGTTTCCGATATGTCGGCCTGGTAACACTCCTCATGGCAGGGTTGGCATGTTCCTTGATGATTTCGTCCAGCTAGTCTCTATTCATGACCACCTAGGGCGTCACTGGTAGAATAATTGGCAGTTGCCTTCTTTTGCCCCCTGAATTCGGGATTAGGAGTTATATCCTCCTGAAAAAGAGGATTATTTTCTCTAATGACCATTCTAGCTTGCTATGCCCACGGAGACAACACATACGACATAAGTATTGGTTGTGATTCCTCTACTAGTATTGCTTGTAAGGGGGAAACAATAGCTACTTTGCACCCTTGGACGATTCAGATTGTCAAACAGTCATTCCAGTGCTTGACTGGTGTGGCCAGATTCTTCTTTAATCAAGTCCTCTAGCTCTCCTGTGATAACACTTTAATCGATGCCTTTAGCTCTAAGTCGGATTCCCAATTTTCTTTCCCCCTCTGAGCAAAGGCAATTCTTACTATAAGTTGTTGACGCCAGACCTACCTTATTCAACAACTTCGAGTGCTAGAAGCACTTCTAATGTGCTAATTTTGGCCCTTGTATTGGTGTTTGTCATGCTGTTAGGGTTCCATCGGGCGTGCCAAAAAATATGTTTAGCGTATTTTTAGATTACGGGTATGCCAAAATTCGACTAGACTTAAGATCCAAATACGTACGGTCTTACCTATTCAAATCGACGTGGAGTTCTTAAATTGTGATTGTTTTAGCGATTGTAAAAAAATATAAAATTATCTCTAAATTTTTTTCTATGCATTGGAGATCAAGGACTTCAATAATTTTCAACTTATAACAGAAATGAACTAGAATGTAGAAAAACAATTAAAATGTAAAGTAGCAGAGAAACTAAGGGCCTATTTGGTGTGTGCTTCAAAAATAGGTTTTTGTTTTTGGATTCCAAAAAACAAGGAAAAATTTGTTTTGATATCAATTTTTGGAAACAATTTTGAGAAAAAATGGAAAACAAACGACTGATTTTAGGAAATAACCAAAAGTTGTTTTTAGCTGTTTTGGAGAAAAAAAATGAAAACACGGGTAAAGGGGAACAATTACTATACACTTAAACCTCCTACCATATAAAAGCCTCTTTTTTTTTTTTTTTTTGGTTTTCTCTATCTCCCCGGCTATCTTCACTTTCGCTCTCAGACAGAACGAAGACACACACAAAGCATCTTTTTCGACGAAAGGGTCTTTTTCGACAACTGAGAGCTTTCCAGTAAAATTAGATCTCCAAGGAAACTAGATCTATGCTGGAGAACTCTTCCGATTTGTTGATCTCCAGCGAATGGTTCGGATCTATTGATTTCTCCGACGATTGCTTCGGATTTTCTTTAGATTTTGTTTTTTTTTCCGCGGCTTCAAGATATGCTTGAAATCTGTTTTTTTTTTCTCGGCGGCTTCGAGGGTTGAAATTTTTTTTCGACGGCTTCGGGCTGAATTTGTTTTTTTTTTTTTGCATTTTATCAAATTTAACATATTAAAAAAAATTTGTATGAAACACTCAATCCAAACATGTTTTAATATTTTTTATTTTATAGAATTGTTTTCACAATCATATAACCAAACAAATTATGTAATATAAATATACTTTTATAAAAAAAATTTCGAATACTGAAATGCAATTCAAACACGCCTTAAACTTGATAAATTAAAAGACTTATTGTACTTGATATTAAACGAAAAGGAAAAATCATCATAGTGATGAATTACAAGTTAGAATAAATTTATTGAGAAAATAAGCTACGTAAAATATAAACTTTTTATGTGTAGAATTGTTGTATTAATAAAGAATCTCTTTTCGATTACTTTCTTTTTGTTATTTATAAGAAATGACCTCGTCGAAACCATCTTTTTTCGACCGTGACATATTCCTGCGCTTTGCATTAGTTCATTTACCTACCCAATTTGTAGAACTCCTCTGGTGACAATAACAGAAGTCCTATTTACCTACCCTCGGTCCTAATTCTAGGTGATTTTAAAGATCTCTAAAACTCATCAATGATAAATATTTGTGTTGCCATCAATTTACTGACGAAAAAAGTATGATCTATCAATTCGCATATGCAAATGAATTTGAACTTGAATCGATCAATTGAATACAAGAAGTACATAATTTTGCCATTTAAAAAAAAAAAATTCAACCATACTTGTGATTTTTGATTATATATGGATTTGAAAAATAAATAATAAGTAAGTTAAACTCGTAAAGAGAAATATTATTTAGACGAAAAATATTGACAATATTTGTTGACTTTCCCTAATTTAACCATGAAATAAGTCGTGAATGCTACAGTTAAATCAACGATAATAAAAGGACTCAAAATTTGTATTTTAAATTAAAAAAAAACAGAGAAAAAGAACAATTTCCCCAAGTGTATGTGATAAATATCGGTTGTTTGGCTGGCTAAGCAAGGACACCAGTCACCATTTTTCTTATTTAGACTTGGTACCTGTCGGCGAAACCTAATTATCTAACAGGTGTCAAAAAGTGGCAGCGAGTACACGGAAATTAACCAAAGTTGTTGAAACACTCTTCTAATGATAGAACACTAAACAATTCCGTATAACCACGTTCCTACTAATAAAAACAGTGTGGAGAAGGCTACGCTGCCAACCGAGGAATCGTACTGAAATTTATAACCATTTAAAGTTAAATTATAATTATTTTAATGTATAAGTTGTAATTTTTAAAAATTATAATCGATAATGATAAATTGAAATTGAAAATGAAATTACAATTTTTAAATATCAAGTTATAACTCATAAGATAAAAATTATAATCTTAATTATAATAAGATTAGGTCAGATCATGATAGATTTATTTTTCATGAATATTCTACTCTTTATATGAATAATCCATTTTTAACTGAACCAGAAAAATAATTAATAGAAGTGTACATAAATTAGTCCAAAATAAAAAAAATATTATGTATTATTATCGAAGATAAAAATATATCCTAAAATATTAATTTTTAATAATAAAAGGAGACCCGTACTAATTGTTTTTTTGGGGAACAAGAAATCATAAAATATATATGTTATATATACAAGACAAGATATATAGAGAGAGAAAGAGAGGAGGGGTTAGGTGAGAGATTGACCGAACTACCTCCTCACATACTATCCCCTCCAGTCTTCTCTTCTATCTCCTCACCTCTACTATAAAAACCCCTGCCTCCCCCTCATCTTCTTCAGCTTGGACGTTCCCTCCTCAGAGAACACAAGCTAAAAATTCTCTCTCTCTTCGGCTAATTTTTTTGTATTTTCTTCCAATTTTATTACAAAATTTACAATAAGTTCCAGACCCGGGTTGTAAATCATGTATTCCCTCTCTCCATCCTCCAGTATATCTCCTAAGTCCCTAATCAGGACGCGGTGTCCGAGTCAGACTCATCGGGTTACACCCGGTCGACTTGTTATTCAGTGTATTCACCGGCACGACTCAACCAACGCGAGCAGAGCCGATTGGCAGAGCTCATGCGCCATATTAGCAAGCAAAGTGGTGTCGCAACAGCAAGATACTCAAAAAGTAGGCGGAGCTGACAATATCACCGCCGTGAACGGCCATAAAACCCTAGATCTCGTGCCAATTGAGAACTTACCTAAACCTCTGACCATCACAGACTTCTCTCCAGCACCGATGCACGGGGCTCAGATACGAGTCGCCTACCAAGGTGTTCCCGGAGCATACAGCGAAGCCGCCGCCGGCAAAGCCTATCCGAAATGCGAGGCCATACCTTGTGACCAGTTCGAAGTTGCATTTCAAGCAGTGGAGCTCTGGATCGCTGACCGCGCAGTTCTCCCCGTCGAAAACTCTCTCGGCGGCAGCATCCACCGGAACTACGACCTCCTCCTCCGGCACCGCCTCCACATCGTTGGCGAAGTCCAATTTCCTGTCCATCACTGCCTCTTAGCTTTGCCAGGCGTCCGAAAAGACTACTTAACCCGAGTTATCAGCCATCCACAGGCATTGGCTCAGTGCGAACACACTCTCACCAAACTCGGCCTCAACGTTGCTCGCGAAGCAGTGGATGACACAGCTGGCGCAGCCGAATTTGTCGCCGCTAACAATTTACGCGACACGGCCGCGATTGCTTCCTCACGCGCCGCCGAGTTGTACGGAATGGAGATCTTAGCCGACGGAATTCAAGACGACTCCAGCAACATCACAAGGTTCGTGATGCTGGCGCGTGAGCCAATAATCCCACGCACCGACCGTCCATTCAAGACAAGCATAGTCTTCGCTCACGATAAGGGGACAAGCGTCCTCTTCAAGGTGTTATCGGCGTTTGCTTTCAGGAACATAAGCTTGACGAAGATCGAATCACGGCCTCACCGGAACCGGCCAATCAGGTTGGTCGACGACGAGAACGTCGGAACGGCGAAACACTTCGAGTACTTGTTCTACGTGGATTTCGAAGCTTCAATGGCGGAAGTTAGAGCACAGAACGCTTTGGCTGAGGTTCAGGAGTTCACATCTTTCTTGAGGGTGCTGGGAAGCTACCCTATGGACATGACTCCTTGGAGTCCCTCTGGGGGAGATTAACAACCCCCCTCTCTCCCACCATTGTCTTCAAAATTAAAGAAAAAAACAAAAGTAAATTTAAATTAAATTCTCATTTTAATTCTGAAAATAATTTTTCTTCTCTTCATTTTGAGTTTATTTTTGGGGAATATTAAATTCTTATATGGATCAAGAAAAAAAAGAAGGTTGCTCTAGGTAAATATCATGTAATCAGTTTGTGGGTAATTGTGTGTAAGATTGTGAGTACAACCTTTTGTTTTCTTAGCTGTACTCCTCATATTTATTTAAATATTTATATTAAAAAACTTCCCAATTATTTTTCTTGTTTTGGAAAATTAAAATTTTAGATTTACATAATTCAGCACGCGTAATCACCTTTGTAATAATGCATATCGGGTAAACTTTCATTAATGTTTTTTAGTCTTTTCCACCTAAATTCAAATGTCAATAGTCAACTTCAAAATGAATGTTAGGTTAACGAGTATTTCAAATTCCAACATTGAATCGAATTCATTCGCTAAAGAGGTTTTTTTGTTTTTTTTTGGTAATTCGGACTATTTTTAAGAGTTAATGTGTTGGATTGCATAATTTTTAAACAAGTAATCCAATGATCATAACCATTATTTTAATATTGTTGCTCTGTTTTTATTGGGAATCTTTTCAGAATTTTTAAAACTTGGAATCTTTTTTAAATTTTTTAAAGCTTGGAATCTTTTTAGTTGTTGTTTGTTTTTTGGATTAATTACAAAATATTTCCTTCAATTTTTTTTAATCTATTTTATATAATTTTAATTTCAACAATTTGCATCTTTTAAGTTTTTAAAATTTTTTAAAAAGTGAGATAATTGACAGACAACTGTGAAATCTAACTGTAACCACCTAAAGGAGCTCACATGCCCCAAAAAAATCAGACATCAGACCTTTGTACCCTTATGAGGTAGGAAAAGACCACAACACCCATATCTATTGTTGGAAATGTGGGCCTAAAAGTTGTATTTAAGGGAGACAAACAAGGCGGGGTCAGGATTTTGTCTCGGTGAGATTAATCTATTCATAGTTGATTGAAAATAAATTTATTTAATTAGATTTAAGTTTAAAAAATTATTATTAAGTTTATAACAAATAAGATAATAAATTAATACATAATCAAAATATAATTCATAAATTCAAACTAGAATTTCAAAAAATTCATTAAAGTAATGTAATTTTAGAAAAGAAAAATAGCACTAACCAAGAATTTTAGATATCCAATTTGAAAACGAGTTTAATAAAAATTCAAAATAGTTGAATGGTGACCTAAGACGAAATAAAAAAAACCTACATAAGTCCATAAATAATATACTAAACAATCATCAATTCTACAAGAGTTAAACTAATTTTTTAATATAAAAAATCTGATTTTAAATTAGTGTTAATACTATTATCAAAAAATTTAGTTAATTGATTACCTCTCCTTAACTTCAATATAATATTCTAGAGTTTCTTCAAATTTGATTTGCACAATGATTGAATCCAATAGAATGAATTGTTGATGAATATACTAAAGGAACTAACAAATAAACTAAATAATAGAAAGAAGAGGGACTGTTGGGTTGGCTAGACACTTGGACTAGACTGAAAGTCTGAACGAAGAAGACGAAAGTCTACAGAAAAAAAAAAACAAGCGTAAAAAGGAGCTGTCAAAAGTTAGCTTTTAAGAGTTTAAAAATTATATTAATATACTCTATACTTTAAGAAAATTCAAAAAATTTTAGTGGGATAAGTTTAAGAAATTATTGAAAATTTTAAAATTATACTTAGTTTCTAAAATTTTTTAAAATTTCAATGGGGACAACTGTCAAGCGTGAAAAATGAGGAGGAGCAGCCAACGGTTAGCTTTATTGAAAATGATATTAATATACTTTATACTTCATGAAAATTTTAGTGGGGACAAGTTTAAGAAATTCTTGAAAATTTTATAATTACACCTAAATCCTAAATCCTAAATTTTTTTAAAACTTCAACGGGGGCAGCTGACCCCATACTAAATCCGCCACCGGAGACAAACACTCGTATTCTATTTTGCTTAGAAACTTTGAATATGTGTTTATACTCAAAATAGCAAAATTTAAAGGTGATATGTGGAGGTGATTTCATGGTCAAGAACTAGTCGATGGGAATTTAAGCCTACCAGGATGGATAAGAAAGTGTGACTTTAAAAAATAGGTGGAGCTGACAATATCACCGCCGTGAACGGTGACAAAACCCTGGATCTCGTGCCAATTGAGAACTTACCTAAACCGTTGACCATCACGGTCCTCTCTCCAGCACTGATGCACGGGGCTCAGCTACGAGTCGCCAACCAAGGTGTTCCCGGAGCATACAGCGAAGCTATCGCCGGCAAAGCGTATCCGAAATGCGAGGCCATACCTTGTGACAAGTTGCATTTCAAGCAGTGGAGCTCTGAATCGCTGACCACACAGTTCTCCCTGTAAAAAAATCTTGGAAAACATAACATCACGAGCTATCAATTAGAGACACTTTAGTGCACGTTTGCATATCTCGAATGAAGAAACCATGATTGCAGTTATGGTTAAAAAAGATAATTTCGACAGTTATGAGTCATCTCCTCTAATTACTGAAGGCAAAATTCCAGATAAGAGATCCCTTGATCAAAACAATGACTTCACATAGAGCTAACATCTTTTTTACATAGTTTATTTCCTCGTAAATTTATTTTAACATATAATCTATCACTCGGTAATTTTCTTTTCCGTTTAATAAGTACAAAAATCTTTTCATCTATAAATTCCAGTTCTTATGTTATTTTATATTCCAATTATCTTTTTTACATTTTAGTTCATTTCTTTACTAGTTGAAAATTATTTAAATCCTTGATCTCCTGACTAGGTATAGAAAAGAATTCAAAAATAATTTTACATCTCATTACAATCATTTGAATACTTACGATTTATGATCTCACGTCGATTTAAATAAGTAAGATTGTACGTGTTTAAATTTTAAGTTCAATTAAACTTGGACACATCCATACTTCAAAAATATGTCAAAGAATATGCAAAACGCCCGGCAAGTATCTATGCAAAACGTCAAAAAAATTAATAAAACAAAGTTAATGGGATCCACTAAAGAAAAAGTGTTTAAATAAGTGGTCAAGCTTCAAGATCATCTCTTGAAGCTATATGTCAATGTTACGAAGGAATCAAAAGTTCACAAACTGTCAAAGCATTAGAATTTGAAAAAATAAAAAAATTCAAGTGGGCAGCTAAGAATCTCCTTTTTATACATGAACATTAATAAAGCAGCAAAAAAGAAATTTCGGGTTAGTTCAAGTGATAATCAACTATTTCATAGATTCCTTAAGTTGGTATTGATAAAAAGTTTGATATTTTACATTGTGAAAATGTTCTTTAGAGCCATCTTCCTTAAATTTAACTCCTGTGCGTAAAGAGGAGACTTTGCGCATGAATTTAAGTTGATTACTGATCACAAGTCTATATGGGCTCGGTTGATGGAGGTTATTAGGTTATAATAAATAAATAAATAAAAAAGGTAAAAAAGAATCAATACAAAATGCAAAAAAGCAAGCTAAAATTTAGCTAATCAAAACAAAAAATCATACTTTAACAGATGCTTTTCAGATACTCTAAAATAGATTTTTCCTACAGTGATACTCTAAATATAGAATATCACTGTAGCAACATGTAAACATATTTATATTATTTTCTCCCTCTTCTTCGCCTTCCTCTCTCCTTCTCTATTTCATTATTTTCCAAAAAAATAATATAAAAGAAATGAGAAATAATATTTAAAAGTAGTAGTTAAAAATATAGAGAATCTGTTGGAGTATGTATTAAAAAAGTGAGTAGTTAAAATAGAAAAAATTATTTTTTGGATAACTAAAATATAATTTGTTGTTGGAGATACCCTTAGAAGATTTTTTATGGGGAATCTCAACAAGTGCAAATCATATGTTGAAGCTTTGTATTCACACATGAAAGACAATGGCAAGAAGAGGAAGTTGAGCAGATTGAAAGATAGGAAAAATATAGAAGCTCAATAGCTACTCTTTGCATGAATAGTCCTTTACCATGATTAAGGACTTTTTTAGAATTTTACCATCCCAGTCTCGTCCGTTAGTCCATTTACACAACCAAAAACTTGAAATAGACAAATTGTTAAAATTTTATAAAATAAATTTTTTTTATATATATAAAAATTATAACAAAAGCTTGAAATTTTTATATCTCTCTCCTCTACATGCATGAAAAATATCTATACTAATCAACAAGTTAAATAAGTGATGTCAATTAATTGAAATTTTGTGGGCCCAAAAAAATACACAGAATCATTTATTTGTAGTGACAGCAATTGAACAGTACCATTGATGTTACCCAGTTTGGACAAGTGTCAAATCAAATTTCTTTTTTCTTATTCTATCACTGTCTTACCAGAGTGAAAGAGAAAGAAGAAATAAAAAAATAAAAAAAAAAATCTTAGTTATCTATCTGTTAAATCTATTAGATCTGCACATGAAAAGCACAGCTAAGGTAGTTGTGTTATCGAGAGCCCACATTGGATTTAAAACAACAATTATTTGACTTTGAAGAAGTTCGGACGACATCCGGTGCATTAGCGTGGGTATAATCACACTCAATTTTGAAGAAATTTAGTTAGTTAAAGAGTTCCAGTGCAAGAAGTACACAGTTTTTAAGATTTTTGTGTTGCTTTGTTGACGATTTTTTTTTATTTTTGTCAATTATCTGAATGATTGGATTAATTTATGCATATTTCGATTAATTTCTTTTCTGATCTGATTAAAAATAAATCATTTACGTCGAGATTAGAGTATTCATAAAAGATAAATATCTCATAATCTGACCACTTACAAAATTATCAAGATTTAAACTTAAAAATTTTGAGTTTACTACTTGTCTCTATTTTCACTTGGACGAACTATTAATTTTTTTTTTCTCTTCCCTATTCATGACACATGAGAAAGGGGTGTTTATCACTTCTAGGGGCATTAAGGCATATTCTTTAGTGCCGAATTAATTAATTGCCCCCACAATATAGGTGAAAAACTAAACTTGGACCCTCCAAACTCTTGTGGATCTATGTGTCTTGATCGGAAAAGAATCAAGGAACTATATTCAGTCTTTTCTAAGGCTCTATTTAATACGAGTGTATTAATGCTACTAAGCTCAATGACTTAACTTTGTATCATATGCTCAAGTATTCAAGTTTCCTGGGCAAAAAAAATGTGGTTAGTTTAGTAGGACGAATCTCAATTTCTTAAACTGTATCTAAATCTTCGGTATATGAGTTGAAGAATTAGTTCATGCAACCAAGATTTGCTTTTAATTTTATTCAAACACAAGAGCTTGAGTGACATAAGCTTATTTTTGGAGATAATATGCATGTTTCCAACAAAAAACATTAAATAGGACAAGTTCAAATGTCATTAAGAAATCTAATCATGTGATATATATATATATATATATATATATATACTATATGACATATAATGAAACAATGGTAATGAGATTTCAAAATAATTTGAAATATTGTAATAATAATAATCGACGTGATGGGCTAAAGATAAATCACCAACGTGGTCTAATGGAATCCCCAACCAAACAACCATATATCATTGCCGACATAATGCGTTAAATATAAGTTTTAAATATTTTTAAAAAGTAATTAATAAAATAAGCTGATAAATGGGCTAAAAGAAAAGGTTTTATATATTATATAATATAATAGTCCAGTGATGATGACGAGATTAGGTTAGTAATAAATATAATTAAAGAGGAAGAGGGTTTGGTGAGCAAATGAGCGCATGATGTGAATTAGTATCTGTGGTAGGTGGGAGATGTGATTTGCTAGTTGTTGAATGCTTCTCTCTCTCTCTCGTCTCCCACTGAATGAAGCCCTCATAGCCATTGCTGACGTACATGCATTATCATCAGTCATTCATCCCGGACACTACATCTTTCCCTACCAACTAGACTGGCGCCTGACATCGTTGTGAAAAATTTGAGGAAAAAATATTTACTACGTGATATTTTATGTAGTGTTATCGATTAATAGTATACAGATAAATAAGAGAATAAATTTTATACAAATTAATAATTATTTGTTTATGTAAATAGATAATTGTCTATTCTTCTTCCATATAAGTTAGAGTTAAATTTGTATATTTGAAGTTTTATTATTGATTGATGATATCATGTCATCAATACTGATATAATATCACTGTTACATTGAATATCCTCTCAAAATTAAGGGTGAATTGCATTTCATATTCTGAAAAATTTAACAATTTTTATTTTGTATTCTTAAAAATTAATTTTTTACATTCTAAACTCAATATAATAAAAGTATTGCAATAAAACTTTTCGGCTAACTTTTATTAATCATTTCGTTAACGTCAATAAAATAATTTTCACAGAATAAAGCAAAAACAAAAGGGTTATACTTACCTTTAATGCATTGAGAGAATCATTGAGCATGTAAAATAGTTTTTTCAAAAAATATGTTGGGGTATAAAATGTAATTCTCCCAACAAATAATACAAAATAGCAACTTGAATTTAGTTGAATTTTGGTTGGAATTTAAGAGGGAAGGAGCCTCTATTCCCTCTATTGATTTATTTATGTGATTTAAAATGGGTTTTGATTCGCATTTTTAAAAGGGTGCAATGATAACATTAACATTATTTGTAGTCATTTATTAACTCTAAGAGGATTTTTTAAAAATTTAAAATGTAATGAATTTAGTGTATTTTTTCTTAAACTTAAAGATTGTTTTTATAGTTTGACAAATAAATAATCCTAGTAACCCCTTAGATTCAAGTTACGAGGAATTTATTTCTCATGAATATTCTAATTCTGGTGTAGATAACATGCCTTTAACTGAATCGAAGAGAAAATTAATCAAAACTGTTGAAAAAAAGAGAGTATGAGTGGGGTTTGGTGTGAAATCAATGGACCTTTTCTTTTTGCTAACAAATATTTTCATATGTAGGCCAGTCATATATTTAAATGGGTGGCGTTCTGCGTCCAAATGTCTTCCAATTGTAATCTTAAAGGGTGGGGTTATTAGGCTTTTGGAACTTGAGAGGAAAAATACGGCAAAACGTAGAAAGAAAGTTTATGGAGGATAGAAAGAAGACAGAAGTCATAGTGGTTTGGGTTTTTATGTGTCTGTGTGTATATATATATATATATATATATATATATATATCAAGCAATTGACACGGTTAAGCATCAACCATATAGGAGGGTATCACTTAAAAGAAAAATTGGTAAAGTCTTGGAAAGGAAAGATGGAGAATTAATTCACCTTCACTCCTTTCTCGCCAATATGAAGTTTCTCTATGTTTTCCTTAGCAGTGCAGTGATAGTAAAAGGCCAAATACTTTCACAGGGGTTCTTGTTTTGCTTTGAATTTAATGTTGCTTCTATGTGATTTA